TGCTGAATTTTATTCCAAGTCATCATATCAGCAAGTGATCACCAGCTCAGTCTTCTCTCATGGGGCAGTAGGGCCAGAAGGCAGAGTGTGGAGATAAGATCATATTAAATTGTGCCACACCCCTTTTCCTATGGCAGGGAGGTGTGGCTGATACCACATACCACTGTTAAGGCATCCAAGGATCCATTTTCACAAGAGGAGTGCCAAAGTATTGCTACCTGGTACGTCAGCTGCTGGAACAATGACAGTGACTTGCAGGGCAGGATGTGGTGCAAATCAGGGGTTTGACCCTTCTGTTTTAAAGGGTGACCTATTTTAAAAGAGAAACCTATTTTTAGAGTGCTAGTTGAAACAAAAAGTGGTTGTTTGTCTTCCAAAGGAGCCAGGTATTTAATTCTTGACTTGTATTTGGAAATAACACCTGATACACACAAATCCAACTTTGTCTCTTTTTTTACAGAATTGCAAAATAAACCCATTAATGAGCCTTCCTTAAGCTGCTGCAGCAAAAATTACAAACACCACCACCCTCTCCCCCCAACCTGCCTCCTCCATAAGTGCCATAAATAAAAATGATGGTTTTCCATAATATTTTACTAATTTTACGAGTTGAACTTAGTCTGGCTATCAAATAGTACCAGTTAAAAGTACTCCCATCCCAAGGTTAAGAGATTCTCAAAGGTTATTTTCAATTTTACATTTGCAGTACAAATTACAGTACCAAAAAAAAAAAAGTTCAAGCACTTTAGCAGGTTTTTCCACACAGGGCTCAGATGTATAAACAATCTGAGTCCAAATTTGAGGTACTTTCCTAAATAGGAAAAAAAAAACCCACAAAACCAAACCAAACCTCAGCAGATCTTTTTTCCTAATTTATAAACTAGTGAGGATTAAAAAGAACTCGAGGTTTGAACACAGATAAAAAGAGTCAGCTAAAGAAAAGAGAAAACATTCTGGTAAATTTTCAGAAAAGACAACCAATTTTTGAGCATGTTATACAGCATTATGTATTCCCAGGTTTGGAGCTGAATGCTGTAGGCAACTTGCCCTTCATCCTCAGTTTCCATTTATTTTGGCTGTAAATCATAACCAAGCAGGTATCAAGCCATCTGCTTCTATCCTCAGTAAATGCAGTAAACTTGCTTTCAGGTTTGGGGATACAACATGCAGTTTTCTTCTGTCCAGTAAAAAAATACACCTTTAAACTCCATTACTCAAAAGCTGCCCCAATAGGAAAAGGATCTAATGAATGAAAGGAATGTGGCAGCAGGGGAAAAAAAAAGAACAAAAAAAATCTGCACAGGAAGAATAAAAATTCAATATTCCATTAAATGCTATCATAAGCTCCAGCACTATAATTTGATTTTTCACAAAGCTAATCTTGGCAAACTCCTAGAAACAGTGAAGACACCAAATACAATTACTTTTTTTCACAACAGGCAAATTCTCAAGACATTCAAAGTTTTGGCTCAAGCAAGTTAAAGGTGTAAGAAAGTAATATCTAAAGCTTATTCACATTTCTCAAATTTTCAGAAATGAGACAATGATCCAACTTGGACCATCTGTGCCTTGCTGGTTGTCCAGAGAACAAACATGAATAATAACCCAGAGTGAGGTGAGACCATTCTCAAAAGCTTTCACTCAAAACTGTTTAGTTAGTATTTAATTTTAAAATTTAATTTTTAAAATACTTGAGGGCTTGTGAGTGGAGAGCACAGAAGCTGGAAAAGGAAAAGGCTATCCATCTCCTCTAATTTATATCAACAAGAGCACCATTCAGACAGCTGCAAATGTATCTAGTAACTACAGGAGTCCTGGCTTAGTGGAGCTTTTCTCAAGCTATCAGCCTGGGAGTCGGGATTAATCAGCTGTGCTGTAGGTTTGGGATGCTGCACAGCATCCCCATAATGAGGAAAGGGGCTGTGGAAACTCATATTTTAGGGCTGATCCACAGTGAAATGGAGCAGCTCCAAATTACTTAAGGGGCATTTGGCCCAAACTCTAAATGCCAAGATTTGCTCCTGCCTTTCAAACAATAAAAACACCCTTGTTTCTTTGTAGTGCCATCAACATGGACAGAGCACTCGGATAAAGCTACTTCTGGCTGTCAACAGGGCTCAGCAGTCGGGAGTTCACCCCACCCCTGGACATGTCCAACACAAGGTGATTCATTCCAGCCTCTCTGCTCAGGTGCACAGCCTGGACACGTCCAGCCCGATGCCAGGAGGAGCACTGCCCACTGCCCTCTGCCACCAGTTCTGCAAGAAGCCAGCCTGCGTGTCTCAGTGAGAAGCATGCAGGGCTGTGCTACCAGCACTCTGTGGAGGATGCTTGCTGTGCTGTGCAGCCACAGCCACTGTATTCCAAGACCAAGGCACAAGAAAATGCAACATCTAAGCACTTACATTATAAGCACATGCCAAGGCTTCTCTTCTCATCTTTTAGAAGGAAACAAGTTCACCTTTACACATTTTTAAAGTAATTACATCCTGAGGCAGACTCAAGAGCATTCATATTTGATTACTATAATTTGACATCGTATTTTTTGACACATCCCAGTGCTGCCTGTTTAAAGCTGAAAATGCTAGGAACCGACCTAGAAAGCATTTTTATTCGAGATACATTTTGGAGCAGGTAAGAATAAAGGGCAATATGCCAGGAGAACTGAACACCTTGAGATGAGCATGAAGGAACTCCTGTTCTAAGCATGTCATTTAACTCCCAGAGGGTTGAGAGAAGTCTAGGTAGGAGGAACAAGTTGTCAGGGGGCTATCAGCCCCCACATCTGTATGTAACTGAGCCTCTAGAATTGTGCTGACAGAGGGCAGACTCCACCAAAACATTACAGGCTTTTGAGGATGAAAGATCCCGAGACAAGGTAGAAAATTGCATAGAAAACCACTATGAGCATACAGCTGAAGAAAAAGGATGAAATTTGAAAGCCCCACAGGAGACCAGGTATGTGCTTTACTAACCACAGTGGAAATGTCCTAGTCCACTTCTGTATGATATACAAAAAATACACAGACAAATATCTTGTGTGCAGCACATGAAAAAGTTGGAAGCCCATACATTTGTCTTGGTGAGCTTTGAAAGCAAACTACTCCAAAACCTGGGGGAGAGAGTATTAAAACACTGGGGTGTGATTTGACCTTTCTAAAAATTATATTATACATAATAATTATATTATTATTTATCATTTTAAAATACTAAAAACAGCGGGAGTGAAGTCTTGTTGCTGTCTCCAATGCTCAAAAAATGAAGACTAGTGTGAGTGTCCTCACCATCACTTCCCAGCTTCAGATTATAAGAGTCTGCTGTTGCAGTCCAGATGACCAGAGCACTTTAGAGATCACAAAAAGTGGAAATTCAAATACTTTGGTCCAGCTTTGCAAAATAGACAATAAAACCACTTCTGTCTTAACATGGGGCTGCCTGAAGCAAGCTTGACCAGAGCATATAACTTAATTTTCACAAGGTAAGAAAATATATACTCCAAATATCCCCATAGATTTTCCTAACTTTCTAATGTGAATTTGCCAACAGAATTTCAGTACCACATCTACCTTGCAATTAAGTGTTAAAAAATATATTTTTTTCTGTTTTTACAGAACAAAAATTGTTCAGAACAAGTGTATCGTATATAAAATCTGCTTATTCACTGTCATCGGTTCTGCCATGTTCATATCATGCAGAGGAGGAAAAATCCTTTCTAAAGAAAGAACTGTACAAAATTAGCAGGATTCCTCCCACCTTTGCATGTTGCTTTCTGGTAAGCTTTATGGACTGTTGTGTTAAATATGCTCTTTTTGATGCAACTCCACTTTGCTTTTCAGAAATTGTGAAATTAAAGCTTTGACAATGACAGGAAGACTATTTTTACAAGGAGTAGCAGACAGAGAATAAATAGTACTTCAACACAGACTTTTGGGGCTTGTACTTACTTAACATAACTTTAAGAGCAGTTCTTTCTGTGGCACAGGCTTATTTTTAATCTCCTTTATTGATTTGTTTTCCTCACAGCAACCAGCCCAAGCAATAGCATTAGATATACCACAAAAGACTAGATTTCAACACATAACCTGAGCAAAAGTTGATTAACTTCATTTAGATCAGGTAATCTAGTGTTATCAAATTTTAAAATTCTGGTTATTAGATCCTTTTAAGGCAATTTATAGGCATTTGTGGACGTTGGAGCCCAGAGAGATGGGAAATGAAAGTACAGATAAAAGACAGATTTTACTTCAAATATATATTTTGACAAAGGTGATGACAGATTCTGGCCCTTGTTGCAGGTTCTTTCACCTTTTCGGGTTTTACTAGTTAATTCCATTTTAAAAGCATGATCTCTTAAACTGAAGAATAATGAAAACATCAGTTCAGTGACCACCTGAACACCAAAAGTTACATTAAATCTGTGCATTTAAGAACCATATCTAAAAGATACTGCACCCAATAACCAATATGACCCCTAGGCTTGCACCCTTCATTATCTGACACTTGACAAATGTTGTAAGCCCCTGTACCTTTGGGGCCAAAACTAAACTAATTTCTTAGAGACATTCTTGGCCAAACCTATTGCTGGAATAGTGCCAGGGAAATCTATCTGGATAGATCTAATTTACAAGAGCAAAACTTGCAAAATCTTTCAGGCATTTCAATTGTCCCCTTAAAGCCATCTTTGCAAAAAATGCTTTAACATGTAGAAGAAAAACAGAACTGCAAACTTTTGTAAATACACCTCTGCTTTTGACTCCTCTCAGATTTAGAAGCTTCATGACACCTAGAAAGAAAGCTGTCACAAAAATACAATGGCAGGAAAGTTTTTCACAGAACACATATAACTCAGCTGCCAGTTAGTACCTTCTCCTCCGACACACAGTCTTTCAATCACTGCAGTAGAAATGAAGAAAAAGCACCCAGCAACTGACAGCTCAGCTTTTGTTCACAAACCACTTGAGAGATGTGACAAGTCTATCCAAAAAAGCCAAAGAACTTACCTCCTACTGTGCAAATACAGAGTACAGCAAGGAAAAAGAAGGCAGTCCCCAGGAGCTTCATGTTTGGTGGTAGTGCTGCCAGCTCTCCCTTGTGCAGCTGGGCAGGGAGTGCTCTCTCACTCTGGGGCAGGCCTTAATTAGTCCATGGAAAAAGGTGTGTGGTAACTGTGCCTGGTCACTGCCCATTCCTGCTTATTTTGGGGACTTTGATAAAGAACAGGAGGAAACACAACATACTCCCTCTGGGAGTTCAGTACAGAGGAGATTTATTGTTTCAGTCCTTACAGGAACTCCTTTTCTTTGGCAGTGAACCATGTTTTTGTTAATACATTATTTTGTTCTTCTTCAGTCATGAGGTCAGGAAGGTTTCTGAACAGAGGCAAATCTTTCCTTAGGATATGCTATACATCACCAGCTTTCATACCAGAGCTCAGGATACTTTTAAAGCACATGTCTGTGAGCAGTGAGCGAGCCCAGTTATAGGGGGATAACACAGCAAGGAACAGAGGAGCAAAACAAGCAGCAACAGTCCTCATCTGGCTCTTTACTGGGCTGTGTGAAGTGGCCCTGCTGAAAATCACAGCTGCTTCATGTTAAAGGTGGAGAGCCTCCCTGAGAGAGCTGCTATCCTGCAACCAGCGGGATGCAAGACCCACCAGAATAGGGAGAGGAAGTGGCTCCAATAAGGTGCCCCAGCAGCAAGAGGCTCTGGGCTGTGCAGAGTAAGGGTTGGGGGGGTTTCCTTTACATAAAAATCGCCCTCTTTTTATTATTTTCCTTCTTTTTTTTTTTTTTTTTTTTTTTTTTTTTTTTTTTTTTTTTGATTTGAGAAGCTGCAACTAGCCTTGAGTGTATCTACTCCATTACTAATGGAAAAATTTTTTTATTCTTCTGTTTAGCTACTTGCTGTGCCATGGGATGGGAATACAGACTCCCAAAGCAAGCCTCTTACCTGAGCTGTCTGATCAACCAGCACAGACTCTCTTCTCCTCAGGACACTGCAAAATTTTGGTATTCCTCCTTCTTACAGCAATTTCTCCAACTTCTGTGGAAGAAACCTTAGCAGAGCTGCAGTGTTAAAGGCTATTAAAACATGATCTTGTAATAGTCCTGTACTCTGCCCCTTAAAGATTCAATGCAGCTGATGACAATTAATCACAAACCTTCAACCACAATGAGAATGAAGCGCAGTATGTTTGCTATTCTCCCTGCTTGTCAGCTCTCAGGAAAAACTCTGGAAAAACTGACCTCATAAACAGCCTGACTAATTAAATAGTCAACTCTACTTGTTTCAGTAATTAACTTTTTTTTTTCTTCATTGCAGGTTCTAGCTATAAGGGGAAATTTTGGAATAGCTTCACATGCAGGAACTTCCCAAGGGCTAATCCACAGTGATTCCAGCCACACTGCTGTTTTATCCATGGGATGAGGAAAATGGTAGCAGCTTGGCATTATGTGTGGAATCATAGAATTGTTTAGGCTGGAAAAGAGCTTTAAGATCATTGCACCCAACCACTAACCCAACATTGCCAAGGCCACCACTAAACCCTGTCCCAAAGTGCCACATCTACACATATTTTAAATATTGCCAGAGATGATGAATCAACTGCTTCCCTGGGCAGTCTTTTTCAATGCTTGACAACCCTTTCTGTGTTGAAATCTTTCTTATATTCAGCCTGAACCTCCCCTGATACAACTTGAGGGCTCTTGTCTTATTGCATGTTAATTGGGAGAAGACTGACATAACTTCTGTTTAAAGAAATTACATTGCTGCATCTTAAGACTGACACATCCTCTGCAGGTGACAGAAGCTGGTGCTCAATAAAAATCTGATGGTAGACAGCTAATTTCTGGTCCTTCATTTGGACAAACATGCATATTCGCACCCATGAGAGACGCAAACATGTAAGTTCTCCGTAGCTGGACAGTGTCCTCAGCATTATTGAAAAGGATCCCACAGAAATAAAAAACTTGACCCACAGAGTGGTGGGCCACACAACGACACTTTCGCCAAGTTCATCAGAGCTTATGCAAGGGAGTTGTGCCAGTGCTCTCTTTTTATGCTCGTTTTCTGCCAACGTAGGACTTCAAGTTAGAACAGGCTAGGAAAGCAATAACTGCTGCAGCAGAGAGCCTTCAATAAAGATGACAAATCTGAACACAGAGTGAATTCATCCCAGGTTAGTACTGTTCCTAATGTAATAAGAGGGACTCTAACCTTTTATTGCTACCACCTGAAATGTTAATGCTGAAGAAAGATACAGAAAGGGATATTATTTTATTGACTGAAATGAAATCTCTGCAAGATCTAAGAGGCAAGAAGGTATGAGGACAGAATCGCTTCCCTGTGTTTTGAGACCCAGAGAAACTGTCTGAGTGCCCAAATGAGTAATGGTTTGCTGTTCATGTGAACAGCAGCACCACAAGGAGTTGCTGCAGCTTAAGATGGTGACTGTGGTGGTTCCTTGCACCTCACTGAAAGCAGAAAGGGCACAAAGTCTTGCAGCCATGCAGCAGCCACCCATATTGTAGGTAAAAGTGTGGCAAAGCCTCCCCAGCCTCACACAAGGGGTTGGGAGGGAAAGAAAGTGTGAGGCAAAGACACTTGGCTCTATGTCATACAATTCAGGTTCTACGTCAGAGAGCCCTAACACAACTTTCTGCTCCCTGGAACATGGAGAGAACAATGTCCCTCTCAGATACTCATGTTTCAAAGGCAGCTAACTTCTGCTAGATCAAACTTGGGCAGCAGCAGGAGCATGCATGTAAGAAATAATAGGAACAGAAGAGGGACAGCTCAAAAGAAAAAATTCTGGCTAAAACCGAGTTGTAGCTTCTGGCTTGGATTATCTGAGCTGCAGAAGAGATTCTCACAATTCTTGTCAATGGAAACAGTTTTTTCCTTCAACAAGAAATAATTTAAGGTTTCAAAAGCTTCTAGAGATCTTTGCAGCAAAAGACTGTTCTTCTATGTGTTCACTGAAATGAATTATTTTTTTCCTTCCTATCAGCTAGTAAGTTTTCCTTTCTTGAATAAATGTTTTTCTTTCTTTCCTCAAACTGTTAAACTTAGCTTCAGAGTGCTTTGTTTCACAGAGAAATTTGGTCATCGGTACTCCTGCCAGCTGTGGTGTTACTGCTAGTGTTGGGATATCTGGAGTTTCACTTCAAGCCCCAGAACAAGTGACTGTATGACTCAGTTTCTACATCTTTTCATGTAAGATTTTAGCCCTCCTAGTTGCAGAAGAAAACTTGAAACATGACCAAAGACCACTCTAGAGAATGAAAGGACTCTCTGTTTTAAAATACCATTATTTTGTAGTCCAATAAGGGTTGGGGTAGCATGAGTTATATATTCATTTTTGCCAGTATGGTATTCCATTATTGAAGGGAAACCATTTACAGCCACAGTGGATTTGCAGTTACAGCTTTATTGGTCTCTGGCTGTATTTATATATTCTTTCTTAGTTCACACTGCTTGGAGCATAAAGCTGCCTTTTCATGCATGGTTTTCCTATGAGGTTCAAATAATCCCCTTCAGATTTAGAGAAAGTAAAAATTTTACATATTGTTCAATATCCTTGAAGCACCACTGCATTAAACAGGTAATAATGTGGACAGCAAAGTGGTACCTTGCTGTGGGCTGCTGACAATTTCCAGTGTGTGTGTGAAGAGTCAATTTGTCAAAGTCTTTACAAAAGCAAAAGTAAAAAGGTACAAAGAATACACAGTCTTTGGTGTTTTACTAAAGTGAAGAAACAAACACACTAAGTTTTTCAGCCTTTCCCACTGATGCTTGCTATCCTGTCCATTGATGGTTATTTTGACTCTTATAGCAGAATGATAAAAAAGAGCAAACTAACCACAAACTCTATTGTTTTACTCCATCTGTATTTTAGCAAACACACCCAAAGTAATATTTGGTGTGTTTGCTAAAATACAGAAATTTGCTAAAACCAGAAATTACCTATGACTTGCCTGTATATTTCATTATACTTACTTCCCTAAACAGGGTAAATTTGCATTGAAAAATGCAGTTGTAACAGTGCAGGAATATTTTGTTTAGCTATGCTTCCTGTAATTTTAAAAATTGTTTTTAAAAGTACTTGGGTTTTAGCCTATTACATATATTAAAATTTTTATATAAGAGTAGAACTTCAAAGAACTTGAATTTAGCAGTAGAAAACCAAGATATTTTAATGGCTATGTGTAGAACTTTCTCTAAAATTCATGCTGTGGGACATATTAAAATGTAGATATTTTGTTCAGAATTTTTTAATGGAAACATTGGAATATTTCATGGACTAGAAATGTCAGTATCCAAATCCTGCTGCACAAAATAATATTAAAAATATTAAAGACCAGGCTCATAAATTTATTTAGGTGCTTAAAAACCCAAGCTAGTCACCTTTTTTTTGTAGGATGGAACTGCTTCAATCTCATTGACTTGATTTAGAGACAGCTGCTAATGTGAAAAATTCTACTAAATCTCTAAGTGCCTTTATGTTGGCAACTAAAGACAAAAACACATTTAGTCTGTTGGCTTTTTTTTTAACAAAAGATTTTTTCAAGGCCAACAGAATTACTGCATCTCTGGCTCTCAGAGGATTGTTTATTTGCTCTACCAACAGACTATGTAACAATATCCGTTACCACAGAGCGTGTTTTTCCTGCTCTTTCCTACTACATGCCTTTCCCAGTCTTACACACCTGGAACTCTACTGATTCACCACGGGGACTCAAAACGTGCTTGAAGGATGTGGCTCAATGTTTATTCACTTGCAGTAGTTGTAACTCGGGCCCATATTTTGTAGAAATGGAGTAGCAATAAGCATCTTAACAGCCAAGGTCCTTCCAAAGGCACCATCCAAGGTCCGTTCTTTCGCTATTGGTGAGGTACAGGTGGGTAGATATTTGATTTTGTTAGTCAGAGGGAAGCTTAAGCAGGACTACTGTGGCTGAAAGAAATAAGTTACAAAGGGAAAATTTACTGCAGTCCTAAGTAATTTTTCATGCTTAGATATGGGCAGTCAGAAGAGCTGGAAGAGAGAGACCATAAACAGTTATTGCAGAGATATGAAAAACAGTAGGTTTGCAAACTTAGAGAAAGGAACTTCATGTCATGTAAAGCCTCACACAGAATGTGTT